CAGTCTTAGCACACAGAGCTGTATACACACAGTGTATACTGACTGAGAGACTGTGAGAGTTATAAACTGATAGCAGCCTCTCAAGCAGGAGCTGTGCAGTGTGAGAAAGCTATCACTCTCAGTTATGAATACAGAGAATGAATCACTGCAGTAAGTACATATATATTGCATAAAAGTAACACTTTTTAATAACACTCAGTCTCTGATATCATGAAAATAGACTCTCTCTGTGAGATTCATTTTTATTAGAAGTTGAAAAATTTTATATTTTTCAAGATCATCTTTGTATATCTTATCTGTAAAATTAATGAGAAGAATCATTGATTTCAGTATTCTACTCTTGATATTATTCAAGTGACAGTAGAGTTCACTCTGATCACACTTTTTAAGTATATATTTTCTAATTATTCACATTTATACAGATATATACTGATTATTTATTAGATAATATTAAGATAATAACTCATTAGAGCTGTATTATTCTCACTGTGAGAAATACACAGTTGATAATAAAGATTGTAAAGACTCTAAGAAGTGAGTATTTTAGAGATACTATAACTCTGTAATCTTGATTTTTTTTATTTTTATTTTTTATTTTTTTATTTTTCTTTTCTTTTATTTTTTTCTTTCTCTTTTTTTTTTATTATGATTTTTTCTTGTTTTTGTTTTATTTTTTATTTTTTTATTTTTTTTATATTTTATATTTTTTTTATAATTAAAATTAAATGAATTATAATCTGTGTTCAGAAAAGTAATAATATTTAATAATACTCTCTATTAAATTTTCAACAAATGAGTACTATGTTATGATATTATATAAGTGAGAAATGATTTCATAGTCTCATTTAATATCATTCTCAATAATGAGATTAGAATGAAAATGTGACTAAGAATTCAAACATATTCTTTATCTAAGACTAGATTTTTATTTGAAAAGTGAATCTGAGATCTTTAATATTTGAAATAACATGATTTGAGATCAATGTAATGAATATAAATCATGATCAGAAGTAATACTTTTAAATAATATAATAACTGTAAAGTGTAATTCTGGTCTCAGACACGGTCACACAGTCAGTCTAGACTAAAGAGCTTTCATTAATACTTAATTCTTTTTTACACTCTCTATTAACTGATTTGAGTTGCACACTTGTTGTATGAGAAGAATTGAATAATTTAGAATAAAATTGAATAGTTTTAATCAATTTCACTGCAAAAAATTGACTTATTTTTTATTAATTTTTCTCTCAAAAACTGTCATATTATCTGATTTATTATCAATTGATATCATACTTTTCTCACTGTATCTCAAGAAAGAGTTTATAAAGATTTTATTAATTTATCTTAAAAATCAATTTTAGTTTATTAGATTCTCTTCAAATATCTAACCTAGTTACTGAACTAGTGTCAAAAAAATCAGGTGTTTTATACACAAAAGTCTTGCATTCTTCTTTTGAAACAGTCTGACTAACTTTTCCATTAAAAATAGACTAATAAATCTCTCAATTGAAACAGTCTGATTAACTTTTCATTTGAAAATAGATTAATAAATATCTCAATTGAAACAGTCTGATTAACTTTTCATTCAGTGAGTAAAATGAGTTCAAAATTACACTCAGTTGATGTGAAAAAAGATGGTTTCTCAGATGCTATTTCTAAGATTGAAATTTTAAAGAGAAGAAAGAAGAAAGAAATAGAGAAACAACACATTCTTGAAATACAGAAACTTGAAAAAGTAAGTAAAATTCTTGAAACACAGTGTCTGAGTGAGAACAATGAAGAAGTTCTGTTAATTCTTTATACTCAGACTAGACAACTACAAGAGATGATCAAGTTCAAACTTAGAATTTCAAACACAGTTTAAAAAACATTGAAAACTTCTAGTATAATTACTGACTCTTCTTCATCTTCTACTTCTTCTTCTTCTTCTTCAAATCAGAAGAAAATATATACTCAAGCAGCAGAATCTGCTGTCTCTAAACCTGCTATCTCAAAATCTGCTTAAAATTCTGAGAAAACTGAGAAGAATATTACTCAGATCTCTGTTCATAGAAAAGAAGAGAAAAAAATACAAAAAGAGAAAAACTTTCAAATCTCCAGAAATAAAAGACTTATTCTCAAAGTTTCAAATCAGAGAGATTTTGCAGAAAAACAAGGTAAACTTTAATCTCATTTTCAGAATTAGAAATGAAATTAATCAGCAGTTCTTTTCTCAGTTAATAAGTGATATTAAAGTTCAAAAATCAGTTATAGCTTCAATTGAGTCATCTTTCTTTGAAAATTTCATTATTTTGACTACAATGCCTGAATTTAGTACAGAATTCCTCATTCAGAATAAGAATCTCTCAAAATCAGCAATAGAATCTCTACTAAATACAATAATTCTATCTGAGAGAGATGAAAAGTGAGACAAATTCATTCTTTATAACATTTCAGTTGAAATTTTTGACTGTGAGAAAGATATACTACTTCTCAAAAATAAGTTAGAAGAATACAATTCTATTCAACTGAGAAAGCAGCCTGTATAGCTGAATTCAATTGAATTCAGATAAAATAGAAGAAATGCCTCAGTTCTAATATATATAAAGATACTTAAACAGTTAAAAATCTCTGAAGTAAGAGTGATAGATTTGAAAATGAGAGTTCATGAATACAAAGACTCAAGAATGAATCTCAAAGCTCAAACACAGTGTTCAAACTGTCAAAGATATGAACACTTTGTAATATCTTATTTCAGAGACTTAAAATACACATTCTATGCTAGAGATTATAAAACTAGTGAGTATAAATGAGAAATATGCTTAAAAAGAGATGAAACATGTTAACATACTCTGCTTAAGTGCTTCAATTGCAAAGAAAAATATGCATCTAGCTCAAAAGAATGTGTATTTACTTCAAGAACTCAGAAGAACTGAAGAAAAGATAAAGCTCAAAGTGAATTTAAAACTGAAGAGAAAAGTCAAGCTAGTAAATCTATAACTGTAAGCTTAAAAAGAAGAAACTCTTAACTATCTAGATCTTTAAACTTCAATTCTTCAGCTAAATATAAACAGAATTTGAATTCTCAAATATCTGTTAAGATTAGAGAATTGAGAAATAAGTCTGATGATAAACTAGATAGAATGCAAGCAGTTGAGATTCCTGCTTTTTAAAATAGTTATAATTTACTATCTGACAATAGTGATTAGATTCTACTCTATCTTCACTGTCTTTTAGTATGAATATACAACAAAAACAATAAAAAAAGTTTAAAAACTCTTCAAAAATCACATTTATTTAGAACAATATAAATAGAAACTCAAATTACATTTATTCTTGTCTTCAGATTGTATTTGAATAAAAAGTTGACTTTATACTTCTTTAAGAATCAAACTTTAATGCTGAGTAAAAGTATATTATTTCTTATTCAAGCTATTACTGCTTTCTACCTAGACTGGCCGCCGGGACCATGAATTTCACATTTGATCCCATTTAGTCTGGTCCCATACATTTCTTGGCGTGAATCCCGCTGGGACTAGTCATTAAAAAAACATACAAAGTGACTATATATCAGATCTTAAAATAGAACCATGACTTGAAAAAAATGAGAAAGTGATCTCATTTAGTCCCATTTAGTCTCATTCTTGACATAAAGTTACTATTTTTAGACATTTTAAAGTTTTTTTTAGACTATTTTTAATTTTTTAAAAAGTAATGCTTTTTGATAACACTCAAATGAGATTTAAAGTCATTTAAAGTAATAAAAATAATTTAAATTGAGAAGTGAAAATCATGATCTCATTTGAAAAATGTGACAAGAGTAGACAGTAAGTCTCACTGAGACAGTATGAAACTACTATCTAATGTTAAAACTGTGTAATGAGATCAGTCGAATTGATAATAAGACTATCAAAAAATCTGGTCCTGGTCCCAGACACGGTCACACAGTCAGTCTATTTCTACCTGAAAAATCTGACATAAAATCAAGAGTAGTGATTTATGAAAGAAAAAGATCAAGATATGAATTTAATCTGAGATTTAATATCATATCTGACTCTGATATTCTAGTGAATGATATTATAGATAAAGAGAATGAGTTTAATACTATTCAACTCATAAATATCTATAATGAAAAGTCATTGAAAGAAAATAACAATATCTGAATAATTAACAGAGAATTTTTAAATATAACTCTCTTAAAAAACTCTATAATTATAGAAGACTTCAATACACATTATCTCTGATGAAACTCAGAATGCAGAACAGCAGTAAGAGTAAATAAACTGATTGAATAAACTGTTGAGCATTCAATAGATTTAGTTAACAAGTCTGATTAACAAACATTCTTTAGAAAAGATATGAAACAGAAATCTATTATAGATCTAACTTTCATATCATAAAATCTAATTAAAACAAGACTTATAAACTGGTTTATTAATTCAAATGAAATCTCAGAATCAGATCATGAGATTATTCAATTTAATATTGAACTGAGTGAAAAATAAAGAAGTGAGAATTTTCTTCTCTCTAATCAGTATAACTTTGAAAAAGCTGATTGAAAAGCAGTTAAAGAAAGTGTAAAACAGCTGAAATCTGAAAAGCAGAGTGAGCTCTATTGAAATCAAAGTCAAGATATCTCAAATGAAATACTCAAGAATAGAGTAAAGCTGATTATATCTATTCTTCTAACAAGTATTAGAGAAAATATTCTAAAGAAAAAGTGTTCTGAGTATTTCAAATCTTGATGAAATGAGAATATCACTTCTAAAAGAAAATATTTAGTCACTGCTAAGAGAGATTAGAAGAATAACTTAATATCTGATAAAGAGTTCAAAGCTATTCAAAATGAATATTTTTCAGATATTAAAAGAGTTAAAACAGACTGCTGGAACAAATTTCTTGAAGAAGTAGAAGAAAAAGAAGTTTTTAAAGTCTTCAACTATACTAAAACAAGAAGTGTAGCAAAGCTTTCAATCTTAGAATATAAATTTCAGAATGAATTATATACAGTAAACTCTTTTGAGAAAAAGTATTAAGTTTTTATAAAAATTCTCTTTCAAAACTCATCACATTTAGAAGAGAAGAATATGTCATTTCATGAATATATTAATGAAAATAACTTAGAATGATCTGAGCTTACATATGATAAACTAGAGTTAGCTATATTCTCAAGTTCAATTAAAACTGCTGCAGGACCTGATTCAATCAATCACTTGATTATTTAAAACACATATTCCTACTTAAAGAATGAATATTTTAAGCTCTTTTTCAATCTCTTAAAAAATGATTATCATTCTGAATACTGAAGAGAAGCTACTGAAGTAATCCTTGTAAAATCTAATAAAAAAGCTTCAATTTCTAAGTCATATAGAGTAATATCTCTATTGAACTATTTGAGAAAAATTCTAGAAAAGATAATAGTTACTAGATTATCTTTTATAAGCTCTATTAGTGATTCTCTTCTATTTAATGAATAAATAAAAGATAGAAAACAATGTTCTGCAATTGATCCTGTTCTTTCAGTTATTTCTAACATTCAAATAGCAAAGCATGAAGACCTAGTCTCAACTGCAGTTTTTATTGATATAAAAGATGCATTTAATCATGTTTTAAAGTCTAAGATGATTCAAACTTTGAAGATGTTAAAACTGTCACTTTCTCTAATAAAATGAGTTAACTGTTTTATATTTAAAAGAATTATATAACTATTCTTTGATAAAATGAAATAAGATAAGACTGAGATAAAGATAGAAGTACTGCAAGAATCTTCAATCTCATCTGTTTTATTTATAATATACACTGCATATCTATTCAAGAATAGAGAGATGAAAATAGTGAGATCTTCAAGTTATATAGATAATATTAATCTACTCTACAGTTCAAAGACAATTAAAGAGAATTTAGAAGTGATTGAAAAAGCAGTAAAGAAAATATTTGTTAGAGTAGATAACAATCTAATTCAATTTGATATGAATAAAACTGAATTAATTTACTTTTTTTCCAGATTTAATGAGAAAGAACTAAGTCTGACCCTTTTGAATAAAGAGATTAATTCTAGTTTGAATGTTAAATGACTAGAAGTATGATTAAACTTTAACTTGAATTTTAAATATTATATTTAACAAAGAATTATCAAGACAGAGAGACTACTGAATAGTATAATCAGACTATTAAATACTGAGAGAGATCTATTCTTTCAGACTATGAGATAGTTATACATAGTCTGTATTATCTCAGTAGCTGATTATGAAGTTCAAGTTTGATAAAATAATCAAGATAATTTTACTGAACTCTTTCAAAGTCTGTAAAACAGAGCTTTGAGAAGAATTCTGAGAGTATTCAAATCATCTTCTATTAAAGTAATGAAAATCAAAGCTTCAATTTCATCTTCTACTATTCAATTTAAAAAGGCCTGCATGAACTATGCTCTGAGAGTCATGAAGATGAGCTTAAATCATATAATCAGAGAAAGAGTCTCTTCTTCATTTTCATCAATAAACTCAGAAAATAAACTGAATTAAAATAGATTTCTTGATTGAAATGAGAATAATACTTCAAAGAAAATACTCTCTTAACTGTATAGACTATATTCACTGATTAAAAATCAATTTTCTTCATTAAATATTGAGAAAATTGATCATGAGAAGATATCTCTCTGAAGAGAAAAGCTGAAATCTCTCATAAACTTATAAATAAGTGAACTATCTAAAGAGAGAGAATATAAACAGTATTTGAAGAAGATCTCTATAATTAATATAAAAGACTCTATTCTGATTTACTCAGATGACTTAAAAAATGAGAGTTTGAACATATTAGATGCAGACATTACTTATACTGAAGATAATATTAATTTTATCTCAGATTTCTGAAATTTAAGCTGTGAATCTGAAGTCTTTGATACTGAACTATTTACAATAGTAAAAGCTTTCACACTTATTGAGATAAAATCTTATAAAAGAGAAAATAGCTTGAAAGAGATATGAATATTCTCTGATAGTCAAGCTGCTTTGAAAAGACTTAAAAATAGTCAGATTCATAACAATCAAATGAATCTTGGACTAATTTTAAATTCTGTTATAAAAATTCAAAAGAGAAGAGTATCAAAACTGAAAATTCATCTATACTGAGTTTCTGCTTATATGAATATTTATGACAATGAATTGACTGATTCAGCAGCAAAAAAGAGTTCAGAATTAAGCAGATCTATTCAAAAAACAGTGTTCTGATCTTTTGTAAAGAGAAAGATAAAAGAATC